ATTCCCTACTAAGCACCAGTAAGAAAATAAGTGTCCAAAAGAAATTACCCAAGCGATCGGTTTCCACTGGAATGCCCACGATGTTTGGTGGATTTGTCACACCCCAATCCCAGATCTGGAAACCGTCACTGTCGCTGACGTTTCTGACCCCATGACCATACCTTAAAATCCACGCAATCAGATCACCATCAAATAAACATATTTTAAAGTTAATACATAAATATATATATATATATGTATATCAACATCACAAGACCGGAGCCAAGTTCTGAGAAATTGTAGGTCCTGTAGGTCATTTTGGTGAAATCACCAATGCCCAGGTTGTCTCATCTCTGTGAGCCGCGAGCTGCAGAAGTATGTCCACATGTTACTCTTAAAAAGTGACTTCCTTTGGGGGGCCTAGAATATGAATATTTGAGATTCAATATATATATATACATACATATATACACACTATATATGTTCAATAATTGTAGATTCAATGTGATTCAATGATTCAACATACATTTGACCATGGAAACCACTGAAAAATATTCGGGGGCAGGGACTGAAAGAAAGCTTTGAATAGCTTGATCCTGGCACTTTTTGTTGCGAAACTCCATGACTTCTGATTCTCTACAAGGTTGTAGTACACATAGTCACATAGATGTTTTCAATAAACATAGTATAGTATACACAATTTGGGGTTTACTATGGTTTACTGGGGGTGCGGGTACTGTTCCATAGACCTCCATAGACCTTCAGAGTCCAACCGGAAATTAGACCCATTTTGGAATGGTAAACATACCACCTATAAAAATGGTGATGACTGGGGGATGGTTTATTGTTGTTTTAACCACATTAGTGTTTTTTGAAGTGTTTTTTTTTGGTCTCTCTGTCTCTGCCTCGCCTGTGTATTTGCCTCTGCCTCTGTTACAACAGCCATGTTTTTTTCTACCACTGTGCAAAGAGTTTGTTTAGGTGCGCTAAAGGGGTAACACCGCTGCGAGCATGTTGCATGGATGTATGTTTACACATGATGTGTATGTGTTTGTTTTTTGTGTTTGGTCATGTGTATATATATATACACATGTGTGAAATATTCTATTATCTCAGATTCATATTTATATATCCACACTATTTAATATGTATATATACACCAATATACACATGTATACAACATATATATATACATACATACATACATATACATACATATACATACATATACATACATATACATACATATACATACATATACATACATATACATACATATATACATATACATACATATACATACATATACATACATATACATACATATACATACATATACATACATATACATACATATACATACATATACATACATATACATACATATACATACATATACATACATATACATACATATACATACATATACATACATATACATACATATACATACATATACATACATATACATACATATACATACATATACATACATATACATACATATACATACATATACATACATATACATACATATACATACATATACATACATACACATACATACACATACATATACATACATATACATACATATACATACATATACATACATATACATACATATACATACATATACATACATATACATACATATACATACATACATATACATACACATACATACATACATATACATACTACATACATAGACATATACATACATACATATACATACATACATATACATACATACATACATATACATACATATACATACATACATATACATACATACATATACATACATACATATACATACATACATATACATACATACATACATACATACATACATACATACATACATACATATACATACATACATACACATACATACATATGTGCAGAATATTCTGTATACACATACAATACAATCGACAAGGTGTGTATATATATATATTATTATTATATATGCTAGCCCCTCGAAACCTACCTTTTGCCACTTTGTAGCCAGAAATTTGTATTCGAAACATGATGCCCTGTGAAAATGTGTGTCTGTTGAACATATGCATATTATCTCAGGCTCTTCAGTACATCACAGTGTGTGATCAACATTCAGCATTGCTGTCGAACAGTACAATGGTTGATGCACGTTGCTGCATTCCTGGAAACCAAAGCTTGATAAAGGAACATGCTGCTTACGGGTTACAATTTGCTTGAAGATATTTCCTAAAGTAAGAAGCAGTATTCTTGCAGAAACATATAATATGTGGAAAGATGCAATAATTATGCCTTTTAATGAAGTTTAGTCTCCCTCTCAATTTGTAGCATTATATACATTGTGTTTAAAGGAAAGACGTCACTTCTTCAAAATAATGATTCCTGTTTTTCTTGTCCAAATGTTTCATTCATATGGAAGGATATATTGCACACATACAACCATGACGTGTTTGTTTCAAAAAAATACTACATACACCCAGGGTTCTACTTCATAGTAATGTTTTTCTTCGTATCATTGCATGATTTTCAATCAAATGGTTCACTCCCTTGTGAAGCAAGCTCTGCACATACTTGCACCAACACTTTCTTTAAGGAATACCATAAGCATTGTCTAACATGGATACTCAAAGGATTCCTTTTCCAAAGAATACTAGACCCTCTATTTTCCAGAAATGTGAAATGTGTTACTCTTCTTAATGAAATATAGTTAAAAGTGATGCTACGTTTCTACACTTCTTCAGAATAGAGAGTACCGCATCCATGCAGGGACTTTTTTGAAACTCAAACTTTTTCTAAGTACTACTGCATCTATTGAGGCATTCTATGCCGAATCAGCGTTGCATTTTCTTGAAGGCATGCCCCACCATCTTTAAGGAATGTATCACTCTTTTCAATAGAATATTGCAAAATAGTAATACTACTACGCTACAACTCTGTTCTAAATATAGTACTGTTTCAAATGAATACTGCATAGACTAATGAGAGCTTTCTTATTGAAGTAATTCTGTGTTCTTTCAAGTCACTTTTCTTTAGAAGGGGCACTGTTAATCTCACAGAGGTAGTATTTGTGAAGTTTTTTGTTTATATAAACAAGGACGGTTCACATTTTTTACATTTCAAAATATGCACTATTACTATCAGAAAAATGAGTGCATACTGACTCCAGAAAGCACAACTTAGCAGTACTTGTGCCACATGTGCAGCATTTTCTTTCAAACATCCACCTTGTTTTCCAACAAATATAGCGTTGCTTAGAGAAAAAATGCATGTTCTTCAAAGTGTTTTTGAAGATAGCCTATGTTTTTCTTAAAGAGATACTGCGTTTGATTGAACGATGCCTTGTATGTTGCAGGGACTTTTTTGTGCAACGTGTTTCTTCCTTCCAGAAGTATTGTACCAAGTGCGTTTTGAATTAAGCAATGCATCTTTACATGTTGGTAAAAAAAACTACCTGATCGAAATGAAGAGCGATATTTTCAAGAAATTCTTTTTGCTGCAAAGGAATGCTACCTATTGAAAAGGAATACTTTTACATAATGCTACACCCTTTTGATGAATTTGTTTGCTTGTACTGTATGTTCAATAGAAATATGCATGTTTGATCGTGTTTTGCAATAATTTACAGTGTTTTCACTGCCTTTTTCAGGTTTGGGGAAAAGACCCACAGTTGAGACTTTTTTCATGCGGGTTGAACCACTCGTCCCTACTTAAGGGAAGCTTTGCAGAGAGGTGGAGGTACTAGGAGGTACGTCAATTATACTTAAGACAAAGTTTGGAAGGGGAATCAAGAACAAGAATCAAGATTCCCCCAAAACTTTCTCTGCAACCTTAGTTCTTGGTTCTTGGTTCCAGGGAGGTCCTGGGACCTCTTAAGACCTCTTGATGCCAGAACCGTCATGTCTCACAAGCTTGTCTATATCTATGGTACCCCGAAATTATATGTGTGTATATATAGATATAGATATATAATGATATATATATATATATAGATATGGCACCCCCTCTTGAAACTACTGCTAGGCCTAAAAACTATTCCCCAAAATATTGCAAAAAACACCGTAAATAAGAGCTAACAGTAGTAAGATGTATTAAGAAAAGTTTGTTTTTTCCCCACCTGTCAGGTGAGGGTGGTTAGTTTTTATGTCAGCTAGCCCGCCGCCTCCGCGTCCTCATCTTCCTGCTCTTCCGCCGGACCTCAACTGCAAGCGCTAGATCGCAGTGTTCCCCGCGGACCCGAACAGCAAGCTCAGGATCAGAGTGTTCCCCGCCGGACCTCAACTGCAAGCGCTAGATCGCAGTGTTTTCCGCCGGACCCAAACAGCAACCTCTGGGGCAAAGTGTTCCCCGCCGGACCTCAACTGCAAGCGCTAGATCGCCATGTTCCCCGCCGAACCCGAACAGCAAGCTCTGGAGCAGAGCGTTCCCTTAAATGCAAAAGCGGTAGATCGTAGTGTTCCCCGCCGGGCCTCAACCACAAAGAATCTCCGAAGATGTACCAGATAGAATGCCAGAAAGAATGTCAGAAGATATGCCAGAATGCCAGAAATAATGTCAGAATATATGCTTGAAGGTATGTCAAACTTGATGCCAGATAGAGTGCCATAAAGAATGTCAGAGTATATGCCAAAAAGAATGAAATGACTTCCAGATGGTATGTCAGAAACTAAGTCAGAATAATGGATCTGGGTGGGGATCACTCGAAGAAAGTATTTATATATATACATATTATTGATATGCATATATAAATAATTTTAAATTAAATGTGTGTGTGTATGTGTATGTGTGCATATATATATACATATATATATATATATATTGTGTACAGTGTACAGAAAACTCCTTATTCGTAGATTGAAGCCCAATTTCGTTGCTAGCTCCACGACTGTGCATCCCAGCTCTCGCTATGGGCTTGGAGGGTGATGGCCCAGGCCAATGCTAGGAGGACCTGTGGTTGAACGCCGTGGATCATTTGAGCACTGCCTTGCGTTCTAGCCCTGTTGGTTGATGATTGTAGGAGATTTTACTACCCACTACTTCAGGTATATTTGGGATTTATAATCGCCCAAGAACCGGGAATCCTGTTCTTAACCAACCAGTATTTTCATGGAACAACACAAAGAAAAATTGAACAATGCTTATCCGGGGTTTGACTGAACATTTGGCACCGCAGTTCTCCGGGAACTATATATGGTAAAACCTTGGAGAAAGATAGTTTCATGACAATGTCTAGCCACAATGTGGGTTATTTTACCACCCAGCTACAGAATGTTGTTATTTTTGTTGCAGGGGAATCATCAGAGGGATGCTTTAGTTTGAGGGACAAGTAGGGAAAATCATGGTCTCTGCAAGTATTTTCCTTCAGTTTTCGGTCATATTTCCATTGGTCAAATTCTGCGTATCTAAGATTCGGCACTACTAGCATCCAGGCTGCATTTCATCAAAGGACATCTTAGATACCAATATGAGAACCAGGACTTCTACGGATTTGTAATGATTCATAATTTGAAAACCTGTCACACTAGATACCTCGTCCCAGTCACCTCGACACCTTTGACATGGTACACAGGCCATCAACCGCAGTACGCAGTTCGTGCGATCAAGATGGAGATGAGTGGAAAATTCAGACGTTTGGAAGTATCCAATTGAAGTAATATGGTAGACCCATGTGGGCAATATTGAAAACCCCTGTTGGTTCATTATTATATGCGATAATATATACTATCCAATATGTTGAGGATTATCACAATCTATTATGGGAAATCCTATTAACCAGCCGAAGGGACAATTCCCTGCCATAAACAATCAATAAACACTCGCCCACTTTGAGGGTGTGGTTTTTGAGATACCCGAAATATCCACATATCATGTTTCAAAATCGTGTAAACGATGGTAAATGTACAACTGCTATGGATTTGTTGATCGGATTTTTACCACATGGAGAGCTACAGGGAGATCCGCCCGGAAAATGTTCATGTCCCTTGGATGGGGACCATCCAGCAGTACCTGGATGCCTGCTGTTTGGATTGTCAGGATCATCCCCTGATGGAACTGGCAATGTGAGGTGTTCTGAAGAACTATGAAAATTCACAGTATTTGACATCCGTTGCGAAAAACAGGAACATGGAACATGGAACATTCAGAATTTAGCATGGCTATGAAGACCACAGTGCTGTTGTGGAGTCATGATCTTTACCTATAACGAAGTGATACGACGTGTCTCAAAAAATCCCATGTTTTAAACCGAGCTCCACATGTCATCCATGTCGATCGCCTTGCGGCCCCACACTGGCACCGGACCAGCTGTCACAGCGATGAAAAGCTGGAAGCCAACTTCTATGGGGATGATGATTGACCACCTATTTCCATATATTTCTATCATTTTCTATCTATCTCTATCTATGTCTATCTCTGGTAAGAGTGGAGGTGGTTCATGATTTTCATGATTGGATTTGCCATGAGTGGGGAGCTAAAGAGCCCCAGGTACTGTCTCCTGCAAGCTGTGTTTTGTGGCCCCCTACTCTCCGCTAATTTGATTTGCATACCTGCACACATGCGCATGTACGCACTGTAGCTCCTAACAAAACATCATACAGACAATCATATGCATACAATCATATGCATACAATTGTATGCATATGCATAAAAATAAAAAACATACAAACTAATCATACGCACAATTTTACTGTAATTTTATATATATATATATACACTTATTATTGTACTATCATACGTACTAACAGTACACGCAGTCATACACAGTCATACAATTATGCAGAATGTTTTATAGTTAATGGTAGGTACTGTGGTGCATATATATATATATATACATATATATGGCAGTGTGTCAAAACCTTGTACCCCTGGTGAACATCAAAATAGCTGGTAAATGGGTGTTCATCCCCCTAAAAATGGTATTAATAGGTATTGATCCATACCCATATATATAATACAGTAGTAGTAGTAGTAGTAGTAGTAATAGTAATATTAATAACGGTAATACAGTATCATACATACTATCATACCGTGATCCTCTTGCAATCACAACACATATAGTCTACACACCTATCTCGCGAACATACATGTATGATCATGTATGTATATCTACATATATTTACATACACATCATACACATGTTGTTTATCAGTGTCTCATTGCATCAGACTATCACACATTCACAAATACATGCATTTGTTTGCAGACACAGATGGTAGCGTACATTTCCTATGCCTAGGTCCATGCAAATTGTGCCAAGGCTCATGGTATATATATATATGTCTATATATACACAAAAACTTGCATAGATTATATGTCCTAGTATATGTATTCATTGATAGATGTCATATGTATATATATATAATGGATATACATGTTGCGTGTATACAGGTGTATACTAATAGTATGTTATATCATATATCATTATTATTTCTTTTATCATAATAGTATCTTATATCAAAATTATTATAAATAACTGTAACTATTATGATAATTGTTATATGGTTTATCATAATAGTATCTTATATTATTATGTACTAATAGTATGTTATAACACATATGTATTTCTTCTTAAAAGACGTGTCCTAAACCCACACCTGGCCCGTGCGGTCGGTTCTTTCGCCGATTTCGCAGTGATGCGACTCAGCCGAATCTCGGCCTTGTTCCATGCCTTTGGGGCGCACTTCCTGGGAATGATCATCATGGGTTAAGATTATAGTGGTTCAGAGTGGTTAATAGTGGTTAAGATTATAACTTATCTTGGTTCAGAGTGGTTAATAGTGGTTAAGAGTTGGGTAAAAGTGGCTAATCATGTAGGATAGTGGTTAAGATTTGCCCAATCAAGCGCGGTTGTTGGTTGGTGATTCAAGAGCCACATAGACATAAACCGTTGTTATTGATCAGCGAATTTGGGGGGGGTGCAGGTGAAATCTCCCACAGAACCGAGAAGGGTTTGGCAACGGCTTATTAACCACCAAGAGACTTCAAGTTGGTGGCAATAAAGATCATGCAAGCAGTCAACAAGCACCCACATAGTTGAACAAGCAAGAGTGGATCGAATGAACTATACATATAGCCAACAAGTGCCAACAGATTGCCTGTGTGCAGCAATGGAAGATGCGCTTCCAACCTGGGTAAAGCTTGGTTATGTAGGACAACGGATTTTGTTTGTGCAACCAATCAGGGAATATTTCAAGCAACAAATGCACACTTTATCACTCTATTGTAAGGTGTCGACGATTGACCATGGCGACTGCGAGGGGAAATATGTGTTGCATAGTGAGATCACATGAAGGGTATGTAGCGAATAATGCCACAAATAGGACGAGGAGAAACTGGGAAGATCAAATTGAGGGTTTTCCAACCGACTTGTTTCCCAGCAAGTTTTGCACATCTTAATGACTTAGAACTCTTACCTACAACAGCCCCAATTGACTGGTGTTGAGAGCTGTCAGTTGTTAATGAAGGTTTGAGTGCTGAAGTTTCGAAACCTTGCAATGTCATTTAAGCAAAGAGGTTTTCACACCGTGGGCCGTTCAATTCTTAAGAAGTTGCCATACATATCTTAACATATCCATAAATGAATAAATGGTGATTTGAAGGGATTTATCTTAATATCCATAAATGAATAAATGGTGATTTGAAGGGATGTGTCTTAATATCCATGAATGAATAAATGGTGATTTGAAGGGATGTATCTTAATATCCATAAATGAATAAATGGTGATTTGAAGGGATTTATCTTAATATCCATAAATGAATAAATGGTGATTTGAAGGGATTTATCTTAATATCCATAAATGAATAAATGGTGATTTGAAGGGATTTATCTTAATATCCATAAATGAATAAATGGTGATTTGAAGGGAATTGAAGGGATTTATCAAAAAATATATTTTAACCATGTGAAAAAAGGTGTTTGTGGTGCAGTGTAAAAATGACCTAAAATGACCATCGATGTCTTCTGGGTTTCTGGGTCCGGGTTTCTCCGGCCGCCGAGGCGCAAGGGTCGCCAAATATCCTAATTGGTAATGATATAAGATATAAGTAAATATGATTTATAGCCATTTATAGCTTATAAATTTTGGTTATAAACAATATTTATACATATCATTTATTTGCATATATCTTAAAATAGCTGAGGAAAATGGCCATGTAGTTCGATGATGACCACCTCTTTTTTCAAAATAAAATTGATGTTCCATAGGCCCCGTAGCTATGTTAAATTACCAGAAGGTAAGTGGAATGATCATGAATGAACTATTTGTTGGGGGTCCTACATTCAAGATTCTGGAGAATGTTAGGGAAGTCATTGTACCAAAGTTGTATGTTGAGATCTGAAGACAACTCTGAAATCATGTTTAGACACCCTGCCCTTTTGGGTGTCTCAAATTAGTTAAGAACCTGCAGTACCATAGGAAACAGAACATTATACAGACTTGGTTGCGCAATGGCGCGTCAGTGTAGTTCCTAGATTTTCATCGATTTTGATGCGCCCACAGGCCGTGTGTTTGTGTCTAAGCTTTGGGGATCAGTAGAATCAAGGGTTTTCCACATGGTTGCGGCAAGCAATTCATTGTGCGCCAAAGAACCACAAATGGTTTGTTATTTGTGGGACATGATGTTGACTGGCACCATCTATAGTAAGTTTGTGGACTAAAAGCGGAGTACTCGTTTGACTCGCACGCTTTGGCCTAGGCTAGCATTTTTCGGATTATAGTTCCATGTTCATTAGTTATTTCCATTGCAATCTGGGTGGATTCTATGCACAACAAAACACAAATGGTTTGATCGACACACTCCCATGCGGAACAAGAGATTGCTTTGCCGTGTTCAACGGGAGCCAAATGTAAATGATTCACGCCACGGGGAGAAAAAAATCGGACGCCACTGTTACACGTTGGTGAAACCAACCAGGAATCAGAACGCAGTGAGTTTGTCCTCTGTTCTCACCACAAAATTCAAACCATGGGTTATTATGGTGTATTACTCGGTCGACCACATCAATGTGAATCAGGATTGCAGT